GTTGGGCTGCAAAAAGATGAAGGGATGAGGCAGGGAAAGCACAAAGCAGGTAATCGTTCTGGACACAGTAATGATTGAATCTGGTTATTAGTTGGAGACTGACGCGTATCAGAATTCGCACTATCCTCGGTATCTGGTTGACTATCCGGTGATTGAGATCGACTCTCTGTGTTAGATATAATTCCACATGATAAAGCTATTTCTCTGGGAGATGGAAACTGCGTAAAATTATAAAATAAAAACGAAGTGAAAAATATACGTAGATTAACATTGTCTAGCCGATTAGGATAGGCTTCATACATTCAAGAAGTACATTGACAGACCTGTTGTACTTTAGTGAAAAATTAAAATTATGATTTAATAGATGACACTTGAGAAAAACTAGTTTCTTCATTTCAGGACCTTTGATATTTCAAGAAGGTATGGACATATTGTTGAGATTATTTTTGAAACTTATTAAAGCTAAGTAATCTGTCTTTAAATAACAATTCGAATGAAATATCTTGGGTTATTGCCAGTTGTAGCTTACCGCTATTGTACAACAGAAGAATTGTAACACATTTTGGAAATATAAAGAACTAAAGATCTCCATGAAATCACCAACATTCTTAGGAATGGCGTATACAATATTGGAGCGTCCTTTTGTGAAAATCTTGACTCATCTAAAGGAGTACTTAAGCTACACAAAAAGACCTAATGTAGTGAACAAGAACACCAGTGGGGACAGTCGAATGTATTTAACACAAACTTACAGGACTTGTTAACAAAATTTAGCAATCATAAAGTAAATGCTTAATTTTCAAAATGTCCATCAATTGTCCCAAAGTGACTCAGACTTCATTGTTCTTGCATTTTCATACAAATTGCATCCTGTTTCCATTCTTTACTGTTCGATCATCTTGTCCCTCTGCAGCCAGACCTTATGTTCACGACTAACATAATATACTACTTATGTCAATATAAGTAGCACACACCACACTAATACTTTTGTAAAACTGGATTGTCTTCAAGTAAAATCAGTAACAGTAGTACGTGTCATATTAATTAACCTAAGAATCGAAAAGAAAGGTGAGCAGCTGAAGCAATTCATGTCATACTAAATCTCTCTTCCCTCAATTGTGGAAGGGGGTTGATAGTTCATCCAATCTAAACCATTTATCCCAACAACCAATAGAGTTGAAGCGTGTTGGGTGTGAGGCAGTTACGCACCGAAGACAATGGAAGGTGGTCGCGCAACATTGTGGATTTGCTGAAGTTATACATTAACGCCGTTTGATGCCAACTCAGTGGTCTACGGGTTAAGCGTTCGCACGAGACCGAGGGTTCTGTGTTCCGGACTGTTGTGGGAGATCGTGGATGAGCACTATCGAGGAATCCCATGCTAGAACAAGAGGGTAGTTCAGTGCTTCCAGATTTTCAATTGTGGTCTAACATTGAACGGTTCATGATTTCAATGCAATTCAACAATCTGCACAACACTTTAATATTGAATAAAGCCATTAATAATAATAATAATAATATACATTTATTCGTGTTCATTCCTCACACAATTAACACATATACGTAACTTTCAGTTTCACTGCATATTATGAATTTTGCGTTAATTATGCTTGCCAACATATACATAAATACAAATAGTGATTTCTCATACACAATGAATTATCCCCGGAAATTCGACTTTTCTGAGTGTGACATCGTATTTCTGTAAACCCTTGTCTTCTTTACCCCTAAACCCATTGAAAACGTAGTTCTCATCGTCTAATCGGGAGCCAGCTTACAAGTGAATACAAACTATCAACTTTAAAAGAGTAAAATGTCTCAAATTTATTACCACAGTCTTGTCGGTTCACATATCTATACTGAACAGCGAGGCGGAAAATACGTTTCGTGAGATATTTTGTGAAGCTGGATTTCCTACAGAAAAAGAGTTAACCGGACATTTGGCAGTCTATGTGAGTCAGGCTTTCAGTAATTAAATTATCTAGGATAGACATTACAAAAAGAGTGATTTTCGTATAAAATATGTATCCAGAGTGAAAGGGCATCGTCAGTGGTGGATGACATCTTCTCCAAATATCTTCTATATAATAAATTAGACAATCTGTTGGTTGTAGATGGCCGTCGTCCTCTCATGTTCGTATTGTAGATGGATTGTTTACCGTAAATTGATGATCATTGACTCATAGCCATGATTTTACTGAGCGTTGTTCATCAGCAAAACTCATGGTTCCATCATTTAATGAATGATCAAATTAAGATCATTCACTTTTTACTGGTATCCGGAGCTGCAGTCTTTGTAGTAATCGATTTCGTCTACGAAACTATCGAAAAGTGAATCATTACACAGGATGTCCATTTTAATCGAAAATGACAAGACGTTCACATATTGAGATCTATTTTGATTCTCAATAAACTAAATATTTTCTCTTGTTCCTGTTTAAACTCGTAATAATTTGATCCGATTATTTTCTTATTTAGTATGAAGAAGTGGCTCACACTTAGTCGTGAAACGTTAGAAACTCAAATTTCTACTCTTTGGAATGTCACAAATATATCATAGTTTTATTATTATTATTTAATTGACCTTAGAAAATTGATTTGTTAACTGAATTTCCTTAAAAGATGCTAATAAAAACATAACACACAGACAATGAACTTGTTATTGTATGCGAAAATCATCAATAGTTTACCTGTCATTATCAAAGAGGATCTGAACAAGATTGAACTTCCAGCGTTAACTAACTGGATATTATTCTTTGTATTTTCACAGTGTAATTATTAGACATTTGGGATATTGTATTGTTACATAGCTCTATTTGAAAGCTTTCGTTTGATCCAGAAACTACCACTTATTTCTCTTACTGTTCGAGGTTTTTCATGGATTAATTATTTTATTTTTACTCAGTTTTTTTATCACTTACGACTAAGTTGTGCACACTGGATTTTCTTATTTTTATTCATGTATTATCGGATATTTAATCTACGTTATCAAATGAATTTAGAGTCATGAATAAATAGAATACAGTAGAGAAGATATTCACTAGACAACTTCACCTTTTTATTAGTTACTGTGTCGTAAGCAGCTTAAGAACCTATAGATGTTAAGGTATTAGTCATTGGTCATTGTTCACTAGTCCTAATGACAACATAAGTTAGTGAATCAATAATCACGTCAGAGATCGGAACTGATTTCATAATAAATTGCCCGATCACATAAGTCTAAATGGAATTCAAGTATCAGTTCTTTTTGAAAAGAGAGCATTATCCGACATAGCAGCTGTGCGTTACACCTTAATTTACTTTTTTTTATTATATGCCTTGATTGAATTCAAATTAGTGTTGAAGTAGGTAGTCCATACTTCTTAATGATGTGGAATTAAATATCATCACCGTTCATATCAATCTACAATGTATATGAGATTCTTGTTGAAACTCATGTTTATCATATCCAGTCCTTAAAAGAAATATACTAATCTACTGAGATAATCATTTTCTATTGTGATCCATGATTGATTTAGCTTATTAAAAATATTTGTGTAGAACTTACTAAAAAGCCGAAATTATTGCTCAATCTATTTTTCCATGCCATATACAAAAAAAAACATGATCATTTATTGAAATATGTATGTTTGTGTGCAAACTTACATTCTATTATTTAAATAAATAAAACTCTTGTCATACTACAATAAGCCACGTAAATGATTATCGATTCTGAACTGATTATATTTTCAATATTGTTAACATCAGAACATTGCCGATTTGTACAATTTATTGTAAGTCAACTAATAAGTTTTGTTTAGTGAATATTATAATTACGAAGAAAAGAAAAAGAATTCACTTTAAATTTACATATTGAATATGTGATAAGACTAGAAACTAAGTATATATGGTAAGTAAATAAATCATGAAAAATGTTATCACTATTGTTGTATATTTATGTCGGTAACAAATAAAAACCGATACGAATGTTAAATATAAACTTTCAAAAAAATTTCGTTATTAAAAGAATTTTTTTGAAAAAAAAAATATATTGAATATTTCACATTCATTATCTAAGAATTTTGAAACTATTGACATGGATACTAAAAATAGGGGAATAAATTATTATAGTAAATAAGTCATAATAATTCATTCTATTTGTTGAAATCATGAGTCAATTGATACTAGACCATTATGGAAAACGAAATAGCGCCACTGCACACCATTGTCTTTAGTGAGGTGATATCTCACAACAGACCTAGTTGAACTCTATTGGTAACGGCTTTGTTAGGTATGCAGAGGAATATGCCAATAATTATCGTGTTAAGTCGAATGGTGTCCTTGAACGTTAAATGGACATTTCCCATTGGTCGATGTTTGTTTCACTTGTTAAATATTGTGTAAATGTTGTTTTCTATTTTATGGTACGATGTGGTTTGTTTGTTTGGTATATAAATAGAGTATGTCTGAAATACAATGATTCATAACTCAGAGGCCGTGACTTGCGTTCTTGACTCAACTGGCTGGGCTAGACAGGGAAGCAGGGCCAATCAGAACCCTAGGTCGTCCTTACTTGTTTTCCTTGTTACTGTGATCGATCGATATAAACGCTGCTTATCAAAACCTGCAGCCACGCTTTACAACAGGCTTCTCACTTAAACTCCAGGAAATGCCTCTTGAAGTCAGTCACTAGTGAGCAGATGATTATTATCACAAGGGGTTTTGTGGAGATTTGTATCAAATAATGATCAATGCTATATACCACTCCCTATATAAGAATATATAAATATCTGATCTTGTTTTTATGGGCCAATCAAATTTTAATAATGAATTGCACTAAAATCGATCATTTATCTTCTAACAACTAACAAATTAAAAATTGAGATTTTATTTTTATTGTTTAATAAATTTATTTATTTATTAACTTATCGTTGTCAAAACAAACAAATAAAATTAACACACAAAATAAACCAAAAAAAAAAAGAAAAAAAAATATTCGATTAACCGATTTTTTTCTCGTTCTCATATTTTTTAAAAAAAATGATTCAGTTGCTACCCACAAATAATTCATCAAATGAATTATTTACCAATATTGATCTAAATCAGAATAATGATTTCGCATCGATTTTATTTATACGATCTAATGGTAATAAACATTATTTACCAGTGAAATATCCTAATACAATTTATAAATGGTATGAAAATATATTAATACATTTAGAAAAGAATAAATTTCTTCAATGGACATTAATTACTATATCAGATTATGAAGAATGCATAGGTTTGAAATTAATTCAATGGAATAATGAATTGATTACATTAATTAAGCAGATAGCACCAATTTTACAACAAATTGATTTATCCTATTTAAAATTGAATGGAATCCCATCAGATTTGTTATTACGTTTTTCTACACGTTTATTCTCATTAAATCTTAGTTATAATCAAATTGAAATGAATATTTTCCATGAAATTAAATCAGTCTATTTATGGTATAAAAAACAGAAACATAATGAGAATACAGTAAAACAAGATTTATGTTGGATTCAAACTATCAATGAAATATACTTAGATCATAATAAACTTGAAGATCAATTTCCTTATGAAATATCTAATTATATGATTGGATTACGAAGACTATATATTCAAAACAATGGGATAACAAGTTTAAAAGGTTTAAATGGTCTTACACAACTACAAGTGTTAAGAGCTGATTTTAATAAAATTGCCAGTTTACATGATGATTTTTTTTCATTGAAAAAAATTGAATATGTATATCTTTCACATAACTATATTACACAACCGATATCTGGTACACGTTTAAAGTACTTAAACCATCTAAAAGTGATTGATTTATCATACAATGGTTTGTCTTTTTTACCTACTGCCATATTCAGTCTACCATGTTTACAAGCATTAAAAGTTGATCATAACAATATATCAAATTTGCCTACATTAAGATCAAATTCTAGAATTTCTAAAGAACCAATACAACTGATTGATCTTTCACATAATCAAATTAATGCAATATCTGATGGTTTATTTAAAATAACGAAACAGTTAGATTTAAGTAAAAACAAATTACGAATGTTTCCTGCTAGTTTACTTAAAATGATTGCAAATATGGCTCAATTAAAAAAGATAAAACCATCAGAAATTATTAAACTTGATTTAAATGATAATCCAATTATATGGCCACCATATAATATTATTGAATGTGGCATCGATGCAATGATTCAATATTATATAGAATCAAGAACTGAATTACAATCATATTATGGTATTAAAATAATGTTATTAGGTGATATAAATTGTGGTAAATCTAGTTTAGCTATGAGTATAGTAGATAAACAAATACATATGACAGAAAGTATAGAAGAAACCACTTATAGTATAGAATCATATACTATACATTATGATGCCATTGAATTAACATCAAAATTATATACAAATTCAAAAGAAAATAATAGTGATAATAATAATCACATAAATTCACAAACACAAACGAATCGACCAACAACAATCACAATATGGGATTGTTCTGGTTATCTAAATTATATACCATTAATATCCTATTTTACATCATTATCAACCATTTATATTATTGTAGTGGATATAACAAAATTAAATTCTACAATCTTAATAGATGATAATATAAAATTAAAGAAATCAAATAATTATTTTTATCAATCTGTTGCTATATGGTTAGATCTTCTATTATATCGTTTAAATTATCTTAAATTAATCTTGATTGTTACTAAGTGTGATCTTATACAATCCACAATAGAATTAAATAATAAAATGAATTATTTATATAAACAAACAATTAATTATATAAAATTTAAAAAATATTGGTTAAAAGAACAAATTACACAGATTGAATCATCATTACAAATATCGAAATCCATGTTACTATATTATGAACAATTAAATTATATTTATAATAATTTATATACATTTATTTATCCAATTATTCAATCATTTTCATTCAATGGTATCAATGATAAAACAATTTTTAATTTCAATCAATTATGTTTTATATCATTTGATTTAGCGATTAAAACTCCAACTTATATACCATATTGTTTAACACCATTACCACATATATGGTCAGATATTGAATTATATTTAAATGATATTAAACATGATTATAATAATAATAATAATAATATAATAATAATAATAATGAAGTGAATACAACTATACTACTGAAATCTTATTTTTGTCATTTATTACAAAATAAATTTAATTTAAATGTATTAAATTTAAAACAATTACTTATTTATTTAAATAATACAGGTAAAATTATAATATTAGACTCATATTCAATTAACACTAATAATAATCATAATCATAATCATAGTAATGAAGGGCAATCTTATAATGATCCAATGAAATCCCTAATTAGACCATATCCAAAATTCTATGTACTAATTAATCCTGATTTATTTATTGAATCATTTAAATATTTATTAAATCCTTATTTATATTGTATAATGGATTATATAAAACATAAAAATTCCAATGAAACTATTTATTTACCTAAAACATTTATCAAAGATTTGCTAAAACATTTTCATACGGTTACAAAACATGATGCAATGAATCAATTAATCTATAGTTGTAATGAATTAAAACGTGGTACTGGTATTATAAGCGCCTATTTATGGATTGCATTAGTGGAATATAGTAATCTTTATATTATTAAAAATAATATTGAAACCGGTAAATCCTATGTTGAAATTATATGGCGATGGTTAGAACTTGCTTATCCAGTACCTGAACCAAATTTATTTATAAATTTTGATTTTAATTTAGACAATAATGTATCACTGAATGGATTGAATTCATCAACTTGGAAATTTAAATATGTAAGTAAATATTTATTATTATAATTTATTTATGTATTATTATTATTATTCTAACACAAATAAAATTATCAGAAGGGAGATTTTAGACATTTCAGTAGTTGAAATCATGAGTCAATTAAAACTAGGCCATCATGGAAAACCTGGAAGCACTGGATGTTGGTTCAGTGGTCTAATGGTTAAGCGCTCGTGCGCGAGAGTGATAGGTCCTAGGTTCGAATCTCGCGGGGGCCGGGTTCGTGGATGCGTACTGGTGACCAGTCCCATACTAGGACGAAATGGCCGTCCAGTATTTCCAGGTTTTCCATGATGGTCTAGCTTCAATTGACTCCTGATTTTAACTATTGAAAAATATATCAGTTAAAAGTAGTAGTTAATTGTAGACACATGACTTTTTTAAGACTTTTAAATATGTGTCACTTTTTTTTGTTAAAGTACTAATTCCATGAGGAAATATGAACACGAATAACCAAGATGTCGTAATAGTAAGATTATGGTACTGGATTACGTCATACGAATAATAACAATAGATTAAGTGAATATAATAAGATGATTAAAATGTTTTGTTAGAACAGTCCAAGGTCATTAAAGGTCACATAGTGCAAAAATAAATAAGGTTATATGATGAGTATTTATGAATAAATTAATGAAAATGTAAGACATAAGTAAAAGGGAATGCAGTAATAATAATAATAATAATAATAATAATTAAGGTCAAGGTAACGATAACGATAAGACGTACTTCTTTTGTGCGAATAGTTCTGGTTGTGTTTATATTTATCTTGTGATTTTAAGCTCTAAGTACTTCAAATCGTAATATTTCACTTGGGAACCATCGAAATTTCATTGTAAACTATAGATAACTTTTTATGCATTTTTAAATGTCATAATCGTATTGTACGCGATTTTTTTTATATTTAAAGATAATTTCTTCACGAACTGATATTAACTGAAAAAAGTCACAGAAAACCAGAAAATACAGGACTGTTGTTTTGCCATCTCAGGCCTCGTTGACGGCCTACAAGTCTCACAGTAAGCAAGATAAAAATAAAACAGAGTTGATACATAAGAGTTAACATTTTCAGCTCCAATCATTTGATAAAACAAAGCGATTGTTATTATTCTTGTCATAGTTGAACTTCACTAGTCAAAAATTTACATCAGAAGACCAATAACCCATGTCGAATTTAGGCTCCCGTTAGCACAGCGTTATTTTTAGTCGTATGTATCATGGAGATAAGTTCAGTTCAGAACATTTTTATTCACCAGGAGATAAAACAGAAAAACTTCTGAAAGATCCTCAGTTTTTAAATGGACTTTTATTTATTTATTTATTTATTTGAACACATGAATATTGGTACAAGAAAGCGCCAATATATATGCGCCACAAAACAATGAGAATTCGAAGAGAAATAGAAAAAAAAGAGAACAATAACGAAGAGATTGGTGTAAGTTAGTGTGGTAGTAATGAGGGAACGCAAAGGTACAATTGGAAGAAATCTTTCAGGTAAGGGAGACACAACCACTTTTTACGAAGAAAGTAAAAGAAGGTTACAGCAGGATCGCCACTGGCTTCTATTTCTGAGCCATATCTGATAACGTCTCTAGCCACTGTGTTGCACCATCTCTCAGACCCCAACCAGGGAGTCGTGAAGGACCAACACAAGCCAGTCCTTTGCAGCTTTCTTTCATACCACGACACCATGTCATGCACTGACCACCTCTCCGCTTTCTCCAATCAGTCCCAGAGTCGGCAAATAATGCACGACGTGGGATTCTCTGGGACGACATTCGGAGAACATGTCCAAACCACCGAAGTCGGTGTTTCAAGATGGTGACACCAATTGGATTATCATCTCTGTGCCCGAACACACGATGCCGAACCTCTGCATCACTAACATGGTGTTGCCACTGAATGTCAGCAATCCTTCGGAGACAGCGATGATCGAACACAAAGAGTCGTCTAACATCCTCAACTCGGAGAGACTGTAGTGTCAGTTATTATGCCAAGCCCATATACCTTATTCTAGCTTCCGGACATCCCATTTTATCTATTCTTCCACGTGCATAACTACGGGCCTCCAACAAAAGTGGTGAGCCCGCCGGCGACGAACGCAACGCAGCAAGCTATGTTGATGAAGAGATTTCTGCACTTGATACATCCGACGAACACACTCAACGGGTCCAGCTCAATCTCTAATCCGACGCACTCAGCAAAGCCTGTGCAGCACGACATGAACATGCACAAATCTTATTATCTTATTGTTAATTTGTCCTCATGTCAATTATCCTCATTGATACATTTGTCGGATTGTTCCATTACGATACAAATTATCATTATATGCTTACTATTACATTATTGCCAATAACATGACCGAATGTGGAATTATTAATCTTGTTCGTGCTGTCACTAAATTGACATTTTCGCAATCATATCACTCACCGAGCAAATTATCATTTTATGAAAATTCCACTTAACTTTGTGAGAACTCATTGGGATATTTTTACTATTCAAAAACGTGAAATTTTCCTGCTTTAAGTGAGTTCGTTCCAATTTTTCATGTCATTTTGATCTAATATTGCATTCATTCACTTAGTCGAGGTCAGCAATTTATGTTATCACAACATACATTTTTCATTTCGAAATCGCCTCCTATTATGTCTGTGGATGCCTCTAACTAGCTGATTAGAAACCATTACGTTCATCTTATCTCCTCGTCCACATGTATAACCACATGCCGCATCATTAATTACCCAAAAAAATTATTCGAGTACTGCAACTACTATTCTATTCTATACCCATTGCACTGTATATCAGAACATAGAGTTTAGAGCTAGTCTCTCAAAGATACACTCTTGTTCGTTACATCCAAGTCAGTCTCATACGTCGCCATCGCTAATCATATGTATTGGTATTTTCGTCATGCCTTGGTACGGTTTTGTAACAAACGAGATCGACCGCATCTCCCTCAAACCACACAAACCACTCTAGGCTTCATGACCAAAAAGGAATTCGACTCTACGTACCTTGTCTACTCAGTCACTATTCTGTTCCTTTGGTCATTCTACTAATACATATTCAACGATAACTCGATGCATCTGTCATAACGCAGACGACAACGTTCACTGACTTCAAATTTTATAGTTATTATCAATTGCAGTACAGCAACGAATATCACCCGTCGATGCAGACATCATTTCACGACTTGCCTATTATTATCCTACGAACGGGAGCTACGCATTTAAATTCGAATCCACTCATCACTAGTCAATGCTATTTATTCTGCTGCGGCTCAACAGAACATATATTTAACGTATTTCACTATTTCGTCAGCATCACAGACCAATTTCTGTCATATTCTACTGTACTCATTTTGACGATTTATTTCCCTGTCATACCCACAAACAATTTATACAAACGTGTTATTTTATCGTTCAGACAGTCATAGCATTAGTACATGTTAATTTTTTGTACGCTCATTAATTTGCCCATATTAACATGAGAACATTTTCATTTTTGTCCGCGTCTTTTCTACATTCATGTATTCTTTTGCATAAGTATGACATTTTCATATAATACGCTCACCCCTCATGTGACACTGTACTTTATCGAGTGTTGTACAATTTTTTGGCTACTTATTGTTAACGTTAACTTCATATCACTTGAGTATTATTTTCGAAAACAGACATTTTTTTAAATGTGCTATTTTCTACGAGGGGGCTATGTAGTGTCATTTATTATGCCCAGCCCATATACCTTATTCTAGCTTCCGGACATCCCATTTTATTCATTCTGCTGGAGCCATACTTTGACCTTGTAAATTATTCGCTTATCAATCTAGGCTGTTTTTATATGAGCGTATATGTGTGTGCCCTTCTTATTTCATTAATCACATGTCTGTAGCTTTATTTTGTCTGACTATAAATATTGAGTAACGCTTGACAAAGATGGAGTTGGCTTCCCAGCCATCTTCCATACGCGTCATTTTTGCTTTGCTGTTTCATTCGCTTCATGTACGAAAAATATGTATTATCAAGTCAATTCTCGTTATTCGACTTATTTAATTCCGTTATTGGATAACGCGATTTAAGTCAACGATGATATACGAGAATCTGCGATAGCAAATATTTAAACAATCTAAAAAGGAGTCAGATTCAACGGGCCACTAAAGACCAGGTTTCACAAGCATAGAGCAAAACTGCTCTCACCGACGCGTTGTAGATCCGACCTTTTACAGCCAGACTAACATCACGAAGGCGCCAAAGATGGCCCAGATTGGCATAAGCCGCTCTGGCTTTCACTATTCGTGCATTGATCTCATCACT